ATGACGCTCTTTCTATCTGTATATGTCTCTATATATATACAGGGTATATATATATATATATATACTTTTTCTTGTGCAGTGGGGGCTTCTTCCTCTAAAACCATCAGTGGCTGTAGTTTCGAAGATGACCAGCAGGTGTAAATATGGCGCTGTAACTTCAGCGTGCACCGGCACGCTCCGAGCGGTGTGACGTCACTTCCCTCCTCCGTTCATTCACTGTTCAGTAATCTGTTTTATAATTTATTTATTTTTACGCTTGTCTTTTAATACACTTCGAGTAGCGTCTTATCAGAGCCGAGCCTTCGGGTCTGGTGATTGATATGAGCTTGTTCGCTTGTTTGTGAAACAAATGTAAGGCGCCATTTTGTTCCGTTTCTCGGTGTTTTCGAGCAGTTCGGTAGTTTAGCTATTGCTAGGTAACGCTCAACGGTTCGAGTGATTGACAGCTGGCGTATACTCAGTGATTTCAGTTTGTTTTGTCTTAATTGTTGTTTTTTCCTCCACAGGAATAATAATCTCACTCAAATTAAGACCATATCACAAATGTATATCGTAAAAACCGTGGCTAATGTGCATTTTACCGTGTTTTACAACACGCAGGTGAATAACATTAGTTCATATCGCTGTGGTGATTCTGAAAACAAACTTGAAGCATGAAATATGTTTTTCAGGTTGGACTTTCAGTTTTTCCTTAAATTTAGGCAAATAAGAGTCAGTTATATAACCATAGATGATTTAGACAATTTTTAAACCCTGAAAACAATTTATTTATTGATTTTGTTCCTCAAATTTCTGCCTCTAAAACTGATTTTGTCACGTAAATAAAGTTTAGTTTTCCTCTGTCATTTCGGAAAGTCCTACATCAAATGTTTGAATATTATTCAAAATATATTTTAACTGAAAATGTTTTGAGATTGCAGCTCTCGTTATAAATACTGATTATAAGAAAAAGTAAAGAATTATGTTTATCAGTTTAAATTGATTAAATATTCGCTCTTCTGATTTATGTGAACTTTTTAATTTACTGCTTGAATACCCATTTTATTATTTGTTTAGATGCAGTTTATAAAACAATTGCATATTTATGATCATTAAGTTTAATGATTGATTGTTTTAAAGCTGACATTTTTCACAAGTGTTCTTTCATGTAGTCACTTTTTAGCTTCAAACGTATATTTTTGATGCTGTCATGCAGGACGGAGAATTCAGAGACGAGCTTTTCATCGAGGCCCCTTTCTCTTCCGGACAGAGACATGTCGAGACCTTCGAGCTCTTCTGACCAGCCATCAGAATTGGCGAGGTCTTCCAAAAACAAGGAGCACCCTTCCAAGTCACCAAGGAGACGACGGGAGGGGAAGAGGTCTCAGCGGCGGGGGGATGATCACGAACAGCTGCTGTGGGAGATGGAGCGCCGGAGGTTGCCAGGCCAACACGAGCACTTGGAGCCCTCTGGTTCATCGTGCGACACAGCGGAAAGCTCTCCTAAGAGGTTTGCTCTGCAGGTTGCCAGCTGGTCTGCCATGCCACTTGGCGTGAGATGATTATTGTCTTAAATCCTCTTCTTTTTGTTTTCCTCATCACAGAAGAGCTCACTTTCTACATGGACCATATCCAGCCACTCACTTTGGACCCAAAGCCTGCATTCTTCCCAACCCAACGTCTGTGATGTAAGCTTGAGGCTCAAATAAGTTGAACTTTTATGTGTACAAACTGCTCGTTCGAACTATGACACAGACAGGTTTGTGTAACCGTGTGAGATAAGATAAAAGGGGAATGTGATTGGCTCTTTCCACGAGATGGGACGGCTCACAGTACCGGCCGTTTACCTTTACTGTCACCTGATCTGAGAGAGTTTTGTGGGACATGATTGAAAATGCGTACAGATCAAGTTATCTGCACAATGCCTGCCATCTGCCACATGAGGAAGAAGAAAGACAAAGGGTAAAAATAAAAAAAGAGGAACATTTTTGTGCGGGGTTGAGGGAACCTTTGTACTCTTGATCTTTGTTTTTTTATAACCAAGTACAACAGCAGTTTTGGAATGACTCTGCTGTTGGAAAAATGTTGAATAATCTTTGTGTATTTCAAAGGGCATGATATAATTATTGTCTAATGTGTGTTTGTACTAATTAGGTCCCATAAAATGATATGCATTCATATAAAATTCACTCGTCCCCTTCGGTTACGTTTCGTGCTTGCTTTAGCTGTTTGTAATTTGACCTTTCGGGGCCCGTTTGTTTGTGTGAGTCTGTAAATTTCTTTTTTTTAATTTCTTTTTTTGGTCCCAGGCATATCCAGGACCCTGCCAGCCAGAGGCTCACCTGGAACAAACCTCCAGTCAATGTTCTCGTCATCAGGAAGATCCGAGACGACAGCCTGGTGGAGCCGTTCAAAGAGCTCTGCCGCTTTCTAGTAGAGGTACAGAAAAACAACAACAACACTTTTTAACAACTTACCCAAATATTTTGTTGTAAGTTATTTTGCAGTTAGGGAAATATGACAGATGACAGAAAACAAATCAGTTGTTATTGGTTGTAACTGATTTTGGAGACAAAGCAAAAGTGTGATTTTCTAGCTGTGCACTTAAGTACAGGTATGAGTAAAGGTACTCGTTGCAAAGTCATGAAGACCAGTCAATAAAAAATAAAGTAAGAAACAAAATTTGCACAGTTTTTTTAATATCAGTGGTTAATAATGTCTTTAAAATGATCAGAATAGAAGTTTCACAAAAGCCACATGCCTGAATGATGAGTTTAGTTTTCATGGTGCTCCAACACCTACTCTATCCCCAATATTTATTTTTGACAGCTGCCTTACTTGTTTGTTTATTTTTTCACGTTAGCTGCAAATTAATTCTTTGGTTTCCACTTAAATGTCTTACGCAATTGGTCAGATTACACCATATTTGTTTACCCACACAGACTACAGCCAGCCCAGTTACATAACTCAAGCTTCCACAGGGTTTTTGGTGAATTCAGCCAAGAGCTTTGTTTACATTGAGTGCGTACCTGCATTTCACAAATGCATGTCAATATATCTGGACCGCTATCAGAGTCAACTCTTAAATTTTAGTTTTATTTCATAGTTTACGATAAGTAGCTTTAACCAGATTAACAATATTTATGACCTTGATCTAATTAAACGTTGGTTAAAATACAGTTTTAAGCACTATTAATATTGTTTTAAAGAACTGTTAATTTACGGTTGGTGACAAACTAAATTAAAAAAATGAAAAAGCTGAAAAGTTTGACTCATCTGGTAGTGTTCTGTTCATCTAAAAGCTTCCCTAAATGAAATATATGTAGAACTAGGTGTCCAACAAAAGTTATGTTTGAGTTTCTGAGATGGAAATCACACACAATTCATCCATTTATTCTATTTATCCACAGCTGTTCTGTAGTAAAACGGACCACAACGAACCAAGCCCGACATGATGAAATCTCTTTGCATTAATCGTAAAAATGTCATTTTATTTCAGTTTATTTTATGAAACATTACAGGTGTTGTTTTCTTCTTTGTCTTTTGCTATCACAGAAAACAGCAGGTGCATTTTTTCCCTCGGCAAGTAGTAAACAAAACACTCGTCCAGCTGAAAAACAATAAGTCCAGACAAACAAGAATCCAGGAAATGTTTCAGACAGGTGTGGAGGAACGCTGGAGTCTGATCTCCAGCAGCTCAGGCACCTTTTATCTACATGTTTATAAAACAAGCTGGACTGGGAACGCTGGCCAGATAACTCATGTGTCTGCATTCCATATAAATACTGTAATGGCTGGCTGCACATGTCTGGCACATGTTCAGATTTGTTTTTCTTTTTTAAGAAGCACATTGTTGAGAGGTGTGCACGTGTGTGTGTAACCAAACAAAGCATGTATTCGTGCACCAGGAGAAGCAGATGATGGTGTACGTGGAGCGCAGAGTCGTTGACGACGCCACCCTCTCCAAGGACGAGGCCTTCGGCTCCATCCGCAATCAGCTCTGCACCTTCAGAGAGGGTGAGGCTGCAGTTCTTTACACTAATGCTGCTCTAAAACACTTTGTTGTCAAACGTTGTCATGCTGCCTCCAAAACAAGACGAAACCTTCACAGTTTTGTCTGAGATGTGCAGAAGTTTTACTGATTCAGGAAGAGAAATAAAAAGGAGCGGTGCAGAGTTTCTGTGCTAGATGAGCTCATGTGTGTCGACTAGCTGTTTGTAAAGAACTGTTTGAAGAAGGAACAGAAGGTTTCTGTTGGACGTTTGTGCTGTTGCTCTGTTATTTTTGGGCCACACGAAACGCCGACTGTTTCCTCGCAAGACTTTAAAAGTCATCCGACACTCCTCTGATTAGATGTGAGGAAGTTTTTGTTTTTAGTTTCTGCAAAACATTTAGTATTTTTATTTCTTATGATGTAGATCAGTTTTAAAGTAACATTAGAATAAACAGATGTTTTTATGTGATTTCAGGGTACGACGATATCTCCGACTGCATCGACCTCATCATCTGTCTGGGTGGCGATGGGACTTTGCTGTATGCCTCCTCGCTTTTCCAGGTAATCTCACTTTGTGCAGTTATTTAAAAATTTAAATTCAGTAGTCCCTCATTTATCACGGTGGATCTGTACCCTGAAGCCCCACGATAAGTGAAAAACCTAAAAGAGCACAGAATGTCATGATCTCCCTCTCTGTGCCTCCACTGCTCTCAGCTACCTGCAAGCATTCTTGGCCACGCCCACTTCTCTGTTTTGCACGGAGTTCAGCTGCAGGAGGAAGCTTATCCTGCAGTGTGGGCTGCACACAGGTGCAGCAGGTGCTAAATAATTTAAAATAATTAATTTTAAATAAAAATTTCATGCTGATTGTGCGGCTCATCATCAGTCAGTTGCGTGTCATGTCCAGTCTTATTTTGAAAAACCGTGATGGAGCGAGTCCACGATAAACGAACCGTGAAGTAGCGAGGGACTACTGTAATTTTATTTAAAACTGTCAGTTGTAAGTAAACGAAGCAAAATTCTTAATCTTTTTACATTTGTTGTATGGACTGGATTTAAAGTGCTCTTGTACACATTTTAGAAGTCAGTTAAAAAAAATGCACATACTGTGGTTTAGATTTGTAAAAGAATATAAAACTATTGTCTAAAACAAATATTTTCATGCCAACTGCATGCACGCAGACCTTTTTTTTAATATAAAGTAACGCGCACTGTAACCTCATGTCCTGAGAGGTTTGAAATCAGCAGATCGTTGCCGTGGCGACTCCTCTTTGCAGGGCAGCGTCCCACCAGTTATGGCCTTCCACCTCGGCTCATTAGGATTTCTGACACCCTTCAAGTTCGAGTCCTACAAGATCGAAGTAGCTAAAGTGTTAGAAGGTAAACACGCAGCAGCTTTTATCGGTGTAAACATCTGGATCAGCAGCAGCTTTGTGCTAACGTGTCTGGGCTCTCAGGCAACGCCGCCATCACCCTGCGCAGCCGTCTGAAGGTGAAGGTGGTGAAGGACATGCTGCAGAGAACCGGACAGCAGCCGAGCAGCAGAGAAGCACAGCCGGAGCCTAATGGACTCCTTCCTCACGGACACACCAACAGTGAAGCTGGCAAGGTTACCCTGCAGCTGCAGGTGAGGTCACCGGCGCCTGCTGGGAGGACAAGCAGTTAAAAACTGAAAAAAACAACCTGTACGGGTGGCGAACCCACATTTTCAGTGGACGTTTCTGCATTTAGCTGCGGTCGTCTGTTGCCAAGCAACAACTGAAACTTTTCCTCTTTAATTTATTTATTTCACTTTTCAGTGACATCATTTCCCTTCAGATTCACTTCTTAAATTTCTCAACTTCTGTTTTATCTTTGAGCACAATATATTTAATTAATTGGCTTATTTTTGGATGTGACAGAAGAAAATTCATGTTTAAATCAAAGTTGTTCTATTTTAACTACAGTAGATATTATTTGTGTAAAAAATAGCATTAATATTCATGTGTAAAGGCTGCGCAGGGTGTATGTTTGGTAATGTGCTTTTGTCTGTTTTGTGTTATAATTGTTAATAATTTATACTTTGAAAATGTACTTCTTAACCTCATTCCAACGCACTCTGTTAACTTTTAGCACCTCGGTACCTCTCTGAGAAAAATCAGAACTATATAGTACTCTTAGAAGGGCGTGTATTTTAAAATAATAGTAAAAAAGTTTGTTTTTAGGTTTTGCATTTATCAGAATTCTGCTAACGTCTTGAGTTAGGCGTCAGTAAACACCAAGAACAACCCGCTCACTGTTTCGTTTCTCGTTTGTTCTTTTCAGATTCTGTAGATGCTTTCTCTCTTTTTTAAAAAAACGATAAAAGGCTCATGTGACTGCGGACTGATGCCGTAAGCTGTTAAAATGTATTTATTTCTCCCCCAGATGTGCTTGTGTGCGTAGGCTGTGCATGTGTGTGGGTCAGCTAGGGATTATCGCTCCGGTTTCCATGGCGACAGACATAACAAAGGCCCAGATATGGGAGAGAATGTGGACTGTTGTGGAGTTTTGTTGAGCCAGTTGCTATGGAGACAGTGGCGTCAAAGGTGTAGTCATCGTCAAATGGATATTTAATGATTCCTGATGCTCTGAGTCTGGCACAGCGTGTAGCTAAACAGCACGCCTCGTGACTGGAATCAAACACACACACACACCTGGTTGCGTTTTGTCATTTTCATCGCAGCTCTCTCCTCCTCCGTCTCATCAGTAAAAGAAGTGATGGATTTTTCTGGTCTCTAAAACCGTGACGTTACGTCACGTCTGCAGGATGTTTCTCAGCTGACGTCAGAACATCTGCCAGACATCACAGCTCAGTGTGTGGCTCAAAGGTGGAACGTGGTGTGTGTGTGTTGCTGTAGTTTCCCCTCGAGGGTGTCAGAATGTTACTCAGTCTGCTGCTGGAGGTTTTAGTGTTTACACTGACAACACTGATTAAATGTGAAGTCTGTGACATCCTGCAGACTCCCAAGGACAAGAAAACATCAGAGTCGTTTTCAGTGATGTTCCATATCAAAGTTATCAATAACGTGAATCATTCAACATCATTTTTGTTTCATTTAACTGAAATTCTCCTAAATTCAACATACCTAACTAAACATATTTGCATGAATCCAATAATTCTCAGTCGGCTCATCTGGACAGTTGCTTTTTTTTATATAGAAGACGTGAGGACATTTCAGGCTTTGGGCTCTAGATGGCACCGTGACTCAGTTGTGTTTGCAGCTGCAGTATTTTTTTATTTTTTTTATTTTTGCAGCTGCAGTATTAATTAATACATTTTTATTTTTATTTTTTTTAATTTTTTACTAAAGGGCCACACACAGAACTGGGACTGTTGTGGAGGGCTGGACTCACTGGCTAAACCCAAGTCTACCAAATGTAAAATTTATATTTATCTAAAGATATGATTTTAATAACTTACTGGCAAATTGAACCAGTAAAACTGATATTTTAAAGTTTCTATACTTTGTAAAAATAATAACTATATATATATATATATATATATACACATATAATAATAATAATAATAATGTCATCACAATGTCAGCACTGTATGTTTCCATACAATGGCGAAATTAGTCTCTGCATTTAACCCATCCACCACCAGGTGGTGCAGTGGGCAGCTATTGAAAGCGCCCGGGGGACATTTTGGGAATTAGACGTGCTGCCCAGAGACGCCACGTGATGTGCAGTGACTGGGGATCGAACCTGGGACTCTCGGGTCCCAAGCCGGCTGCCCTGCCTCTACACCATCTCGGCCCC